CTGGAACTCACAGAGATCCACTTGCCTCTGCCTCCTGAGTGCTGGGATTAAAGGTGTGCACCACTGTAGCTGAGTTTTTCTCTCCAGGTCCTGCCAATCCCCGGCAGTCTCATAACCCACTTATAAAATAAACATACAGACACTTATATTATTTAAACTACTTGGCCATTAGCTCGGACCTACCATTGTCTAGCTCTTACTCTTATACTCAGCCCATTTCTGTTAATCTATATGTCGCCAAGTGTTCCATGGCTTTATCTGCTGCCTTTACATGATGCTCCCTGGACGGCAAACTGGCATCCTCTTCCCTCCACCTTCCTCTTCTCTCAGTTCTCCTCTCTGCTAGTTCAGCCTATACTTCCTGCCTGGCTACTGGCCAATCCGTGTTTTATTTTATCAATCAATCATCCACAGCACACCACGCCCCCCCTAGAGATTGGTTTTATTTTTTCAGATAAGGCCTTATTCTGTAGCCCAGCCTGGACTAGGACTTACCATTCCTCCTGCCTCTGCCTCCTTGTTGCTGAGATTACAGATGTGGACCACTGCACCTGGCTTGCTTCCAGTTTCTTTAAGAGGCTATGGAACAGTAGTCATTCATTATTCTGGCTATACATTGGAATCACCTAGGGAGCTTGTAGTAACTGTTAATGCACAAGCCTAGCCCAGACAATGAATCATTAACTCTGGGAGATCAGACCCAAGCAAACATATGAATCTTTTCTTTCCTCTTAAGTTTTCTAGGTGATAAGACCTTCTGCTTTTGTGTCAGCATATCTGTAAAACATCTCCAAACAGCTGTCTGCATCTATCCTTTAAGTGTCATGGTAATTGTGAGAACTGTGCAGAAATGAAGAGAGAAGAATTATGTGTGTGAGGGTGGTTTGAAGGTTTCCTTAAGCCCCAGCTTTAAGTCCTTTTTGTCAAGATGGTTTGTGTTTTTAGCCTCGCTAAAAAAACTTGATGCCAGACAGATGCAAAATAAAGTTTTCCTAGAATCTCATCAAACCAAGGTAACTGAGTACCAGCCACTGTGTGGTGAAATCCAAAATATACCTATGGATGTTCTTGCTTGGAAAATGGTCTGTGTTGAAAGCATTAATCAACAATTTTGGAAATGACTGTCCCTCACCCTTGCACCCTCGGGCCAGAGTCAATAAGTGTGCACTATTAAGGTAATCTAGTGAATTCTGTGCACTAGAGTAGTCCTCCATATTTTTTTATTTATTTGAGGGAGGGAGGGAGGCATGAGGGATGGAGGGAGAGAGGGAGAGAGAGAGAGTTAGGAGTATACATGTCTCCTTATGTGTATGGAGGTTAGAGGACAACCCACAGGAATAGGTTCTCTGTTTTTATTCTGTGGGTTATAGGTATACAAGTCATCAGCCTTGGTGGCAAGTACCTTTATCTGCTGAGCTATCTCTCACCAGCCTAAGTACCAGTATTTTAGAGATGTAGAAGTAGCCCAGCCTTACAGCTTCACTAGATCGGGGACCTACCAACCACATCGGAAGGTCCTGGGAGTGATCAAGGTGAAGATTCGGTTTCCAGTCAGCTCCACCAAAAGTGTGCTGCCTTGGACAGCTCTCTGTATCTTGTGGAGTATGAATCTGTCTCCTAGAGTAGCTACCCAGAAGACTCAATGACTAATGTAAGGTAGAGGGTTAGTGTAAGTTTCCCCTTAATTCTCTCTTTTATTTCTTCATTTATGCTCCATATCATGTGGTCCTAGTACATGTCCAATTTGAAAAACTTCAGAACCAGACCACAATGACTTGTCAAAATGCCCAAGTGCTCCACCCTCCTTTGCATGCCAAGATTAAGGGTGTGGTGCCAGGAGGAGCAGGAGGGAGGGAACTCTGGGGAAGTGGCTACAGATGGCTAGGTTAGTAGCACCCTAGACATTTTAGTGCTCCTGTCCATGTTTTAGGCCTTGGTGATTCATACTGTCTTGTCTACTGCACATAGGGTCAGTTCCACATCAGAGAAGGTGAGAAGAGTGGGCACGAGTCCCTGGAGAATGTAGGGTGCCATTGTAGCCTGCAGCTCAGGAGGAAGCTGACCTCATAGTCACCAGGGCTTCCAGGCAGAGGACAGCTAGGATATTTTCCTTTACAACAATGGAAATTTTAGTGAAACATTTCATTTTGGCCAGTTTGTATGGCAGTTCAAGGAATCTGAAAAAATCAAATGTCTTTTAATCAGGGAGTAGCTTTGATCCAATAAAGCAGAATAAAAATTTTCTGAGAAAAATTACCTTTCTAGTTTTCCATTCTTTTCTTTGTCTCTAACTACACAGCATATGGTGTTTACAGCCTACTTCTCTTTAGATCTTCAAAGGTTTAATTCTTTTTTTTTTTTTGTTTGTTTGTTTTTTGTTTTTTGTTTTGAGACAGGGTTTCTCTGTGTAGCTTTGTGCCTTTCCTGGAACTCGCTTTGGAGACCAGGCTGGCCTTGAACTCACAGAGATCTGCCTGCC